GACACCTATCCAAGTCCAGTCATTTTAAATCTTCAAGCTGTAAGCCATACAATTATTAAAGGAGAGAAAGAGTTTTTTTTTGTTGTTGTTTTTTTTGAGATGAATCTCGCTCTCTAGCCCAGGCTGGAGTACAATGGCATGATCTCAGCTCACTGCAACCTCCGCCTCCTGGGTTCAAGCGATTCTCCTGCTTCAGCCTTCCAAGCAGCTGGGATTACAGGCTCCTGCCACCACGCCCAGCTAATTTTTCGTATTTTTAGTAGAGACGAGGTTTCACTATGATGGCCAGGCTGGTCTCTAACTCCTGACCTTCTGATCCGCCCACCTCAGCCTCTCAAAGTGCTGGGGTTACAGGCATGAGCCACCACACTCAGTCTTGAGAAGGAGTTTTTAGCTGCCCTCTACAAACTGTCCTACCATAATTAAAGAACCAGAAGTGGCTGGCCTCAATCACAGGTGTTAGTATCTCATCTGATCTACTTGGTACTTTGTATAATGTTTGCGCCATGGCTGTTCTAAAATAGAATTCCCAGGATTAGAAACATTGATAATGGGAGCATCCATAAATTATTATGACATAATTTTTAATGTATTTGTTGGTTTGGTTCAAATGCTGTTAAAGGAAAAGGTATTTAGGAAGATAATCTATCGTAGCAATAACAGGATACCTAATTTGATGGTTTGGTAAGGGGACTACTAGGAAACACTCCATTTTTGAAACAAAGGAGTACAGGAAAAATGTACTATAAAAATAAACAGCACCCTGTGGTCTTCATTAATTATATCATTAGTTATTTTAAACCAATAGATTTTTATAATTCAGCTTAATTCATATTTAATTACTACCATTCAGCTTAATTTATATTTTTAAGACTGCCAACCACCACCAACGTGAGAGTAATATTTTAATGAATAAATTTTAATAATTTATAAACTACCATTAAAGAGCCCAAGCCTTCAAAAATTAATTCAAAAAGTACTTTTAGGAGTGTCCTTGAAGATCTCCTTTGCCAACCTACAAGTATATACTCTTTTCATGGTTTTTTCCAAATATTTAGTTGCTTTTCCAAGTTAAAGTAATTGATTAGCTCAGAAAAGCAAAATAAGAAAGTCTTTCTAGATATTCCATTTGTTTTCCCTTAAGCCATTTTATTGAACAAAGTGCAACCAAGCAACTGCTTATTTGTATTTATTATGTATGAAATTTCAAAAGAAAAAATACTAATTTTTAACTTGAAGTTACTGTTGTCTCATCAGTCCTGTTACAGTTCAAGTAGGAACATAATATCCCAAATAAGACTTTTCTGTTTTTGTTTTAGAGATAGGGTCTCACTCTGTCACCCAGGCTGGAGTACAGTCGCACAATGATAGCTCACTATAACCTCCAACTCCTGGGGTCAAGCAGTCCTCCCACATCAACCTCCTGAGTAGCTAGGACTATTACTATTTTTAAATGTTTTCATAGACATGAGGTCTTGCTATGTTGCTCAGGCTGGTTGTGAACTCCTTGGCTCAAATAATCCTCCTACCTCAGCCTCTCAAAGTGCTGGGATTACAGGCATGAGCCACCAGGCTTGGCCTCTAAGTAAGACTATTAAAGTGACCCAATTAATTAATTATCTCTTACACTTAATAAGAGTGATTAAAACCATGTTTCTTAACCTTTTGTATAACATACAATGTTAAAAATTCCTTTTAAATCATGCTGGGTATTAAATTCTCAAGGACTTGTGCAGTGCTTGGATTGTTATATTCAAGTATGTTAATTTAAAGTGACAGGAACAAAATCATTCTGAAGGGAGCAGGGGAAGGACATACACATCATGCATTGAACCTTTGTTCCTGAAGCATTACTATGGGTTTTGGAGCATTAATTAATTTAAAGCACATGCTGCTGAGTCAGTACCTGCCAGAAATCCTAATCAGGAGATGAGAAAAAGAAAAAACATTGACATTGTTTGATTATATGAACAAACCAATCAAATATACATATCACAAAACATAATATACAAACAAACAATTAAAACCTGTAATAATATCACCGAACACCTGGAAATAGGAAATGAGGAATACATAGAAATGTTTTAGATATCATCAGCTAGGCACAATAAAACAAAACAAGGATGTCTCATTACCATTTCATGTACATAATAGTTTTTTAATTTCATGGCAAATTAGTTGCTTTGCCACTTATATTAATATATAGGCAATCAAATATGGATGAGTTCAGATAATTAGTAACTAAGGAAGAATACAGAATGGCTCCTTAGAAAAAAAATCTCCTCTAAAATTATGTTGCATTAAGTAAAGTGCTATCCACATTGGTATTAAAAAAGAAAAAACAGTCATTATGAAGGCTGGCATTTGGACAAGCAGTTGTTGTTAGCTAATTTAGCTGGGTACCACTCCAAAATATTTCCAAATATCAAATGGTTTTAAAGGTTTTTTCCATAAATAAACTTCAACAACCATGAAATAAAATTTGATCTAAATTTACTATCCTATTCTAAGCACACTGAGTAGCATTACAAAATTTCTTGACTGAAAAATAGATGGTATGAACAATTTACAAGCCTACAGCTGAAACTTATATGACAGAACCCAAGGGATTTTACAGCTCAGAAATGAGATGAATAACTGTGAACAAAGGACAACTCAGAAATGTGAAATCAAACTGGAAGCCTCTCTTTAGCTAATGGACTAACTAGGGCCAGTTGCTCATTGCAGAAATAGCACAGGAGATTTTTTTTTTTTTTTTTTTTTTTTTTTCTTGAGACAGAGTCTTACTCTGTCACAAGGACTGGAGTGCAGTGGCCCAATCTCAACTCACCGTAACCTCCGCCTCAAGTGATTTTCCTGCCTCAGCCTCCCATGTAGCTGGAATTACAGGTGCCTGCCACTACACCTAGCTAATTTTTTGTATTTTTAGTAGAGATGGGGTTTCACCATGATGGCCACACTGGTCTCAAACTCGTGACCTCGTGATTCGCCTGTCTCAGCCTCCCATAGTGCTGGCATGAGCCACTGCCCAGGTAGCACAGGAGATTTTCATAGCTAATTGAACTGGGAAGGAAAGGACTGTAGAGAGAACAATTGTGCAGATGGTATACTAGTCTGCAGCTTTTCATGCAAACCAAGAAAGAAGATCATATATATGATAACAGAGAACTCCTTTCATAAATTGAGTAAAGGGCTCAAAGTCATGCACAATAGCTATAATTTGTAGCACTAGATACTTTACCTATCATCGCAATTTTACTGAGAATGTAACTGACAGAGAGGTTAACTGGTCTCTTGTTCAAGGTTACCCATCAACTATGTAGCAGAGCCTATATTTAAATACATGACTGTCTATATCTAAAGTCCACACTCTTCATGTCACTCTATTACAGATAAAGAAGTTCAGCAATCCACGACGTTTTTCATACCAATTCAGCATACTTTTATAACATCTACTAACCATTTACACACAGCTGCCAAACAGAGTACTGAGATACTCAAAATGGAAATGCCTTGGAAAATATTTCAGATACCAAAGCCAGATTTTTTTTTTTAGGGTTATGATGTGTAAAAAAGAACTAAATTTGCTAATTTGTAAGAGAAGAGAAAACTGAGCAAATGTTTTTAAAATAATTTAAAGAACTTTGGATGGGAAAGAAGAAAGATGGCAAAATCTGTAACTAAAAATAAAACAGAAAATTCCAGCAGGTGTGAAAGGATAAGAAATCTTGAATTTGTTCCTCAGTTCACTTTTGTAAGTTAATTACATTCTTTTTATTTTTGAGATGGAGTTTCCTCTTGTTGCCCAGGCTGGAGTGCAATGGCATGATCTTGGCTCACCACAACCTCTGCCTCCCAGGTTCAAGCAATTCTTCATTCTCAGCTTACTGAGTAGCTGGGATTACAGGCATGCACCAACATGCCTGGCTAATTTTGTATTCTTAGTAGAGACAGGGTTTCTCCATGTTTGTCAGGCTGGTCTTGAACTCCCAACCTCAGGTGATCCAGCCTCCTCAGCCTCCCAAAGTGCTGGGATTACAGCTGTGACCCATCGTGCCTGGCTTTTTTTTTGAAACAGAGTCTCACTCTGTTGACCAGGCTGGAGCGCAGTGGCGCAATCTTGGCTCACTGCACCTCCGCCTCCCGGTTCAAGTGATTCTCCTGCCTCTGCCTCCCAAGTAGCAGGGATTACAGGTGCCCACCAGCACACTCGACTAATTTTTTTTTTTATCTTTAGTAGAGTTCAGGTTTCACCATGTTGGTCAGACTGGTTTTGAACGCCTAATCTCAAGTGATCTGCCTGCCTCAGCCTCCCAAAGTGTTGGGAGTATAGGCATAAGCCACTGCGCCCAGCCAGTAAATTAATTACGTTCTAAATTTTGCTTGTCTAAAGACTATAATGAGCAGCTCCATTCAAATGATGCTATATTTAACATATAATTAATCAATATTTGAAAGAGTTAATAAATTGTTTAGTTTATAATAGTAAATTGTAGAACCAGGATTCCAAATTCTCTTAAACACTGTGTGATACCAGCTTTCTTATGTCTAATCCAGTTGTGTATATGACCTTTTAAAAATTTTACTACCTTACCTAATACTGTTTGCTCAAAAGAGTAACCTTGATTACAATTAGCAAAGATCCAAGTTTTCAAATACAGATGACAGTGCTCATTTTAAGAGTAATGGCTTAAAAAAAAAAAAGACAGTACTTCTCAAGATGCCAAGTGGTGCTTATGATATATGAAGAAATAATGGAGCCAATAACAGTAAAATTGATATTCTGATTTTTAAATTCAGGTATTAAAATTTATGTAGCTCGTATTTTCTTTCTTTAAAACGAAGTGCTATGTGGTTTCTCAAGTTAATATGAATTTCTAGCTGTACTTTATCACTTTTTTTTTTTTTTTTTTTGCAAGCAAGTAGAATTCAAAACTCTATCAAACCAGAAAAGATTAACTTCAACTCTTACCAAAAAGAAAGTGAAACATCAAGGTTAGTTTTTTGAGCCAACAGTATTAAGCAAGGCAGTAAAATTTTAAAAAAGGTCATATACACTGCTGGATTAGACATACAAAAGGTGGTATCACACAGTGTTTAAGAGACTTTGCAATCCTAGCTGTATGATTTTAGGCTACTTATCTTTTCTGGACTTTCTTTCTTTTTTTTTCTTTTTTTTGAGAAAGGGTCTCACTCTGTTGCCCAGGCTGAAGTGCAGTGGTGCAATCTGCAGCCTCTACCTCCTGGGCTAAAGCAATCCCCCCACCTTATCCTCCTGAGTAGCTGGAACTACAGGTGTGTGCCACCACACCTGGCTACTTTTTGTATTTTTTGTAGAGAAGGGGTTTTGTCATGTTGCCCAGGCTGGTCTTTAACTCCTGAACTCAAGCAGCCTTCTAAAGCACTGCGATTACAGGCGTGAGCCACCACTCCCAGCTCTTATTTTCTTAATCTGTAAAATGATAATAAAAATAGCTAAGATAGTGGTTGTGTGCACTAAATGAGTAATTATGTGTAAGCCTGGCACATAATAAGCACTCAAAAATAGTATTATTGGTGATAATTCCCACAAGACAAATATAGTTAAGCATTTTTCATTTAGAAATTTCACTTTTCTTTCCTTTTTTTTTTGAGACAGAGTCTTGTTCTGCCACCCAGGCTGGAGTGCAGTGGTGCCATCTCAGCTCACTGCAACCTCTGCCTCCCAGGTTCAAGCAATTCTCTGTCTCAGCCTCCCAAATAGCTGGGATTACAGGTGTGCACCACCATGCCTGGCTAATTTTTGTAATTTTAGTGGAGATGGGGTTTCACCATGTTGGCCAGGATGGTCTTGAACTCCTGGCCTCAAATGATCTGCCTGCCTTGGCCTCCCAGAGTGCTGCGATTATAGGCCTGAGGCACTGGGCCTGGCCCAGAAATTTCACTTTAAACCAAAAAAAAAAAAAAAAAACAAACAACCAAACAAACAAAAAACACTGACAACCAGTGAGTGAAAATGGGATTTTAAAAAAGGGCCCAATCATCACTCCCCAAAGTAACATGTGACTTTGAAATATCTGTGAGGAACTTCTGGCTTTAAGGAAATACTTTCGTTCTCTTGGCATCTGTTACAGTGTTTTTAAAGCAAGAATTTCCCTATATAAAGAAAACAGAAATGGTGTATTCTACTTTAAAAATGGGATTCATAGGGCAAATGAAAACACAGCTCATAAGAAAAACTAATAAAATTATATTGACATATTCATATTTAGCCAAAACCCTGAATAAATATATTAATTAACCAAGAGTTCCTATTTGACTGGTTTCAGGTCTCTGGAAGCCAAGAGAAAGGAAAAGAAAGATGTGGCTAATTAGCAATGCAGAATTACATGTCACATTGTAACCTGTTATCTGAATTTGCCTAGACTAGTTCAAATAAATGTGGAGATTCATCAAATCCTGTCCCAGGAGACTTTTATTTCCTATGCCCTAATTTACATTTCCTTGATCTTCGATACATTTAACTCTAAAAGAGAAAATTCCTTAAAACTTACTATATATGTCAAGGAGTAAAACTACACTGGACCTTATTCTAGAGTCTTACCTTATCCGAGAAATAATTACAACTTGAATAAAGCACCAAGAAGTATTACATAATAGGAAAAAAATGTGTTCATATTCCCTTTAGAGGAACCAACAATTTCCCCCCAAAGGAATCTTATTTTAAAGTTCCATTGTTAATATTTTCAAAAAGACCTTTCACCTAGTAAAAGTAAGAGCATGTAGTAATATTAAAGCTTTGATTTTCAACTATGACTTCCATCTGTTCCTCTTCTAATCATATTGTCTGTTATAGACACTATAATTAGTACTTCTCTTTCTTGGTTTTGACTATACTTTTATCTCTTTACAGCTAAATGTGGATAATATTTCATTTTTATGTAAAATGTTTTCTTATTCCGTGTGAACAAATATTCTTGTAGGTAACATAAAGGAGGTAGAAATAAAATACATATTAATTCTTCCAAGTTGGAGAGATCATCAAGGTTCTGAGGGGACTGTAGTTACAAATAATGAAAAAAATTCAGAGGCAGTATTTCTGAAAAGTACAGGGAGAGGTTGGGGGAAAGGGGAATCAATAGGTTGAAAAGAATAAATCTGTTCTCTAAAAAAAAGAAATACATTGTGGTATGATGATAATGAACAATTGGTTTCAAGAGGCAATTTTGCTATTTGAAAATAGGGCATAAACTGCATAGTTTTTAGAAGAGATAAGCGGGCTGCATCAACACTGTGGAAATTGGTATTCTTTGCTTAAGAAAAAATTTTATCTATACCATGCAATTTCTTCTGTAACATTATAAGAAAACATAGTGATGTCTGATGTGGAGAAACTTGCCTATTACATGCAATAGAAAAAGAAAATACAAACTATAATTTCTATCTTTGGTTTGCTGAGGGAAAAACAGGTAAGAGGAAATGGGAAAATAAAGAAGGCTACAAACCACTTGAAATAAATCATGCAAATAAAAGATAGCAACTAAATGATTACATGAAAGAAATTATAAAGATGTAAAATAAAGGCTCCACTTCAAAATAATTGCTTTGTTTATAGGCTAACTAGATGGTAATATTATAAAAGATGATAAATGAAACAAAGAAAAACTATAGTTTCCATTAAAGAAATAATCCAAAATTCATGAAATGACTATATTGACAAAGCTTTAGTAAAATACATGGATACCAGGGGAAGGTGCATTTTTTTTCACAAGAAGGACTCAACACAGGAAGGTGCATTTAAAAAGAATCTATGACATATTACATTAAAACAAAAGCCAGCCGGGGTGGTGGCTCAAGCCTGTAATCCCAACACTTTGGGAGGCCAAGGCGGGTGGACCACCTGAGGTCAGGAGTTTGAGACCAGCCTGGTCAACACGGTGAAACCCTGTCTCTACTAAAAATACAAAAAAATTAGTTGGGTATGGTAGCAGACGCCTACAATCCCAGCTACTTGGAAGGCTGAGGCAGGAGAATTGCTTGAACCTGGGAGGTGGAGGTGGCAGTGGGCTGAGATCACACCATTGCACTCCACCCTGGGTGACAAAAACGAAACTCCTTCTCAAAATAATAATAATAATAATCATCATCATCATCAAAGTTAGAACATATTTTGTATTACCATCTCTATAATGCTATAAGCTATTTATAATAATAATAATTTTCAAATGTCTCCTAAGAGAAAATCTTCAAGATTTGAAGTTTTAAACTTTCAAACCTAGTCTCATATTTTAAAAATAATATCATTTATCTATGAAACATATTCTTAAAACCAATGGTAACCATAGCTGTTACCATTCTTTATACAAGGCCTATGATAGTAGATGGTTTGGAAATGCAACTGACCAGGCAAGTGACAATAATAACGTATTTCGTAACTTTTCTACAAGGGAAGTTGCCAGTATTCTAAAAGTATTAGTGTCCATTAACATAAAGTAATAATGGGGTCTAGAAAAAGATTCACCTACAAATTCAAAAGCTGCTTAATCAAATTCAGTTTTCATTCACAATCAGTTGAAATAGTAATGTCTCATTTACTTCTTTTTTTTTTTTTCTCATTTACTTCTTACAGGGAATCTTCTAGTTAATTAGCCAGATCAGCAGAAAAAAAAAGATTTTGGCAAAGCACAATTATCTGTCAATAACAGCTGGGACACTGTTCCCTATTTTGCATCTGGAGGTTCCATTATTCAGGTACGAATTTAAAACATCCCAGGAAAATGATATTTTTACATTTTTTCTTACTTTTAATGACAAAAGGTTGATGTTTAATTCAATTAGAATGCTATAAAATAAGCTAGTGTTTGTTACTGGTCAAATTTTGGGCTTTGTTAAACAGTGTGCTAAAAGTTAAGATAATGGGGGCTAAGACAATAGGAGTAAATAATTCTTTCTCTAAGCATTTAATAGCTAATTATCTTCCAAATTTAAAAAAAAAAAAGGGAGAGGGAGAAAATTACCCATTTAAAATTCAAAGCAAATCTAAAAGGAAATTTCTCTTGGATGTTTAGCTTTCTAACTACATTTCTGGCCATAATGCATAAAATGTACTATAATATCATTACCACACGAATCTATTTTTTTAACAGAAAATTATCTTAGAATTTGTGTATTCTAGAACCAGCTACTTAAAAATTAAGATTTTCTGAATGAGAGAACAAAAGAATCATGAAGATCTAAAGAAAAATGAGAAGGCCGACAGTTGAGAAAGTACTGACAGTTACAATTATCAAGGGAAGGACTTCATACATAACAAAAAACCATGGAAAACTTTTAAACTGATCAAACACTAAATGAATCTGGCACTCTTCATTACATAAGATTTTATTTTATTTATTTTTTCCTTTTTTTTTTTTGAGATAGAGTCTCACTCTGTTGCCAGGCTGGAGTGAAATGTTGTGATCTAGGCTCATTGCAACCTCCGCCTCCCAGGTTCAACTGATTATCCTGCCTCAGCCTCCCAAGTAGCTGGGACTACAGGCACCTGCCAATACACCAGGCTAATTTTTGGATTTTTTAGTAGAGATGGGGTTTCACCATGTTGACCAGGTTGGTCTCAAGCTCCTGACCTCAGGTGATCTGCCTGCCTCAGCCTCCCAAAGTGCTGGGATTATAGGCATGAGCCACTGTGCCCAGTCTACATAAGGTTTTAAACTAGTATAGAAACTACTTTCTTAAATTTCACATGAAATAATTTATAAAGACATAAATTTGTAAATACAAAAACCATAAAAAAAGATCCTATTTAAGAAGCCTAAACTTGGCCTAAAACAAGACCTCAAGAAGGTATTTGAGGGAAATTAATAAAGGATTTAAATGAAGAACTCAATGTGCATATCATAAGGTAGATAAAAGGAAAATATGTATTGTCACTCATTGCTAAGGCACAAACTGGCCTGCTCAGGGTCAATTCTATACCTCCTTCTATGAATCTCTAATTTCTCTTTCAGAATCTATGCTCCTTTACCGTAAAGTCAACATTCATATGCCTGAGTTTCACACAAGTCATACTTTCAAACATACACTGATATTCCTAAATCTTGCCTTTCCTATTCCAATTTTAAAATTAATGCTTACAGTTCATTTGCAACTATAACCTGTTAAATCTGCCTTCCAAACACAAAAACACTGCCATTTTTGTCACCACAAGGTGGGTACTCAAACACTTTTATTGTATTTTATTCTTGCTATTTTATAAAAAAAAAAAAAAAAAAAAAGAAAAGCAGAAAAATACTAGCAATAAGAAATGTAAAGCTCACAGATTTAATACAACGAAAACAATGATGAAGCTCATCAATAATGCCAAAAGCTGCCAATTCTTTTTTTTTTTTTTTTTTTTTGAGATAGAGTTTCGCTCTTGTTGCCCAGGCTGGAGCGCAGTAGCATGATTTCAGCTCACTGCAACCTCCACCAGTTTCAAGCGATTCTCCTGTCTCAGCATCTCAAGTAGCTGGGATTATAGGGGCCCAACACCACACCAGGCTAATTTTTAGTAGGGATGGGGTTTCCCTATGTTGGCCAGGCTGGTCTTGAACTCCTGACCTCATGATCCGCCTGCCTTGGCCTCCTAAAGTGCTGGGATTACAGGCGTGAGCCACTGCGCCCACCCAAAAGCTGCCAATTCTTAGGATCAAGTAGACCAAATAGTTACTGGGCCACAACAGGAAAAAATTGAAGAGCATACAGGAAACATGAGTTATCATTACAGATTTTATATTTGAAAAATCTCTAAGAATGGAAATCCCCTTATAACACATTAATCTGTTGTTCAACTTGCACATATTCAACTTCTTTGTATGTTTTCAGGTTTATACATATGTATACAAGAGAAGAGCAAACTCTCATGCTACTATGGATTCTTTCAGTGACCAAAAATAGCGATTTGTTAAAATGAATTTGCTATAAGTTCTTACTGACTTAATGAGTCAGACCTCCACCAAGCAACATGTGATTGACTACTGTAATTTTTTGCAAGTCATCAAACATTTAATGTTTGCCTCCTGTCTGCCAGGCCTATGCTGGACTCTGAGTGACACAAAAACAGGTAAGATAGGGACCTGACCCTCCAAAGACTCTGAAATCAGAAGTGTTGTAGTAAGTCCTTACACTGGATAGGGTACTTTATTATAGATAAAGCAGAGACACCAGGGATCAGAGAAAAGATGAAGCTGTCCCAAAGCAGAGTTAGGGCTTTGAGCCTAAGTCTCCTAAAATCTAGTTCAGTGCCCTTCCTTTTTGATCATTCTTTTAGAATATGTGACTTTAAAAAGAGGATATTCACAGATGGAGGCACTTTAGGCACTGTGCCACCTTAATGGGAAAGATAATTTTTAGGCAGGTACCTTAGCTGAGATCTCTCAAATCTTAAGGCAGCTACTCATTATTTCCAATTGTACAAAAGGGGTCAACACTTATCTCTCCACCTTACCATGATATGGAGTTTTATGTAATGATGCAGGAATTGGCACATTTCTGCAAGATCAGTTTCTACTAACCCTGACCTCTCCCCATCTAGACCCTCTTTTGTGATCCTGCCTTTTCCAGCCACTCCATGATTTTCCTTCTGACTTCCTGTTCCTTGTGCTTTGTAGAGCCATGCCTGGCTCTTTCTTCTTTCTGAAGTGCCTTCTTTATCCTGTGTAAAATTGACCCTTTACTTTTCTTTCTGACCCTGTGTAATATTTTCTTTTTGGAGAATTTAGCCTGAAAGGAAAAAATATATTTGACTGCTTTATGAGATAATAAAACTGAAAGTCTCATTTTCTATACCTAAGAATAATTTGTTATACTGTTTATTCAGGTATAAATAATTGAAAATAAATACAGTGCAAACTTATAGGCAAATTTGGAGTTGTCCTCATAATTATTATAAAAGCACTACAAGGACCTTTGTAATTTTCCAGTTAAGATTACTGCGGCCAGGCGCAGTGGCTCACGCCTGTAATCCCAACACTTTGGGAGGCTGAGGCAGATGGATCATGAGGTCAGGAGTTCAATAACAGACTGGCCAACATGGTGAAACTCCGTCTCTAATAAAAAAATACAAAAATTAGCTGGGCATGGTGGCTCATGCCTGTAATCCCAGCTACTTGGGAGGTTGAGGTAGAATTGCTTGAACTGGGACCAGGGAGACAGAGTTTGCAGTGAGCTGAGATTGCAACACTGTATTCCAGCTTGGGCTACAGAGCAAGGCTCAATCTCACAAGTAGAAAAAAAAAAAAAAAAAAAAAAAAAACATTATTGCTAAACACTATCTTAAAGTCTGAGGAAGGTCAAGTCAGGGAAGTGTTTTGTAAGAAATGTCAATATAATATTGGGGGGCTTATTAATCTTTATGATGGCTATTAACATTCAAAAGTCAACAGACACAAAATTAGCCCTTAATATATACAGTAGGCACTACATGAGAGTTACCTTACATAGAAAAATATAGAATCTTCTGCTTGATTCTTTCAGTAGAGGCATATGAAGGTACAGACCTCCTACCCTAAGCATGCTCTTTTGATAAGATAAATAGGTATTCAGTGATTTCTCACATATAACTATAGAGAAACTTAAAAATCTTCTTAGTAAAATAATAGGATATATGTATAGAAGTGTCATAGTTTGCTTACCTTTCCATCAAAGCGTTTTATTATATATTGATCCAGACCTAAGTCTGTAAAACAAAAGGAAAAAACATTTAGCCACTGATTATAACTCAAGTGAAATATATAAAATGACAGCTCTTGATTTTGTTTCCAGACATTCAATTAAAAGTACAAAACATTTATTCAAAGGCCACAAGAAAGAATGTTTTGCCCCACTTTCAGATTCAAAGTGTGAGTGTTAAGAGATATCAACCCTTTTATTTTACATATCAGAAAAGTAAGGCTCTAAAAAGGTTAAAGTGTGCAAACTTATTCAACAGTAGAGTCCAATTAGAACTCCAGACTCTCCCAGGGTAGTGCTCTTTTCATTGTATCAAAGTGCTATATTATTTTTCATTAAGGTAAGAAATATTGGTTTAATCTGAATGCACAGTAATTTTTTGTATCAAGTTCAAAAAAAAAATTCAATACAAAAAAAAAAAAAAAAAACCTATTGCAATACACCTAAACAGACACAAACAGGCCATCTTAATACTACCTTTTAAAGTTGGGTCCCATATTAGATATTTACTTGGGAATACCCAGCACTGATAAAAATTAAGTGAATATATTCCTTGGCATTGAGGGCAGGGATATTTTTGTCTTTGCATACAGCTTTATCCCCAGCATTTGAAACAGGGCTTCATCAATAATTATCTGCAAAAGAATGAATGAATAAGATACAGTCCTTGCCTTGAAAAGTCACAGTTTAGTTAGAAAGACATATGGATATAATAATTAACATTACAACGGAGCATAAATTAGTTCAATAACAGGGTGCTGTGGGAGTTTTGAAAGTGGAGAAATTAGCACCCCGTTACACTTATTTTCTTGCATAATTATTCAGTTCTTTTCTTTCAGTTGTCACTAGTTCAGGCCCTTACATCACTATGCCCACAGTATTACAATCATCAGATTATCATTGCTCCCAGAAAAAGCTTTTTACATTTCTACTTCAACACATTTGGTTATACATTCTTCTTATCTAAAATGTGCCTCATCTTCCAGAAGTCAGCCCTAAACAAATGGAACCACTGACTGTAAAAGAAACAAAATTTGGTAGGAGGATCCAAGATGGCCGTTTAGGAAGAGCTCAGGATTGCAGCTCCCAGTGAAAGTGCAGAAGGTGAGTGGACGCCACATTTTTATTGCCAACAGACTAGGAAATTCCCAGGCGCAGGAGCTCCACGGGGCGCCAGAGCAGCTGTTTCGGCCAGCAGGGCTGTGCCGGCCAGCGCCGCTGCTTTGCCCCACGCGGCTGCTTTGTGGGCGCCCCGGAGCAGCAGTTCTCTGTACAAAATACACAGGTCCGGGTGCCCCTTTGGCTGGCGATTGGAGCCATGGGAACTCGCCCATTTGTCTGCTTAAAAAGGGGACTGAGCAGGGAGCCAGGAGAGTAGATTCCAGGGCAAAAAAAGTGCCACGAATCTCAGTGCCGCTGTTTAAGCCAGCACAGTGAGTTGTCACATGGGAAAAAACACACACCGTGGTGCCTCTTCAACAGGCGACTGGAACACCAACTTAAAAAAAAAAAAAAAAAAAAAGAGGCTCTGAGGCAGGGAGCCAGACGATCAGGCTAGGCTGGTCCCACTCCCACAAAAGAACAGCAACCAGAAACTCTGGATTGAGTGTTTCACAGCAAGCACAGCTGAACCTGGGACAGTTCAGCTCTGTGGGGGAGGGGCGTCCGCCATTACCAAGGCAGCCTGCCACTACAGAGGTAGTCAGCCAATGCCGAGGCAGCCCACCGTTGCCAAGGCAACCCGCCATTGCTGAGGCAGCCCATCCTTGCCAAGGCAACCCGCCACTGCAGAGAGGCTCTGGCTTAACAGAGGCGGGCCACCATTGCCGAGGCAGTTCTAACTACACCCATATAAACAGGACTGCAGGGAAGTTCACTCGGCAGCTGGGTGGAGCCCACAGCAGCTCAGCAAAGCCTCTACAGGCAGACAGTGACTAGGCTGTCTCCTTGCTGGACAGGGCAGCTCTGAAAGAAAAAAAAAAAAAAAGAGAGAAGGCAGCAGGATAACCGAAACTCATAAAGCCCTAAATCCCTGGGACAGAGCACCTGGGAACAAAAAGCAGCTTATGAGTTCTGCTGCAAAAGACCTAAACGTACCTGCCCAGCAGCTCTGAATGAACAACAGAGCTCACAGCTCAGCATTTGAGATCCTATAAAGAAGGGACCATCTCCTCAAGCAGCTCCCTGACCCCTATATATCCAAAGAGCCACCTCATAAAGGAGAGATCAGACTGACACTAGGCGGGTATCCTTCTGGGACAAAGATAGCAGAAGAAGAAAACTGGTAACAACCCTTACTGTTCAGCAGCTGCTGCAGGTGAACCCCAGGCAAGCAGTGCCTGGAGTGGACCTCAGCAGACCTACAGCAGAGGGGCCAGACTGTCAGAAGGAAAACCAAGAAACAGAAATAACCTCATCATCAACAAACAGAACGTCAATCTGAAAGATTTGAGACCCAATCTGAAAGCCAGCGACTACAAAGTCGACAGGTGGATAAATCCTTAAAGACGGGAAGAAACCAGCACAAAAAGGATGAAAACACCCGAAACCAGAGCACCTCTCCTCCTACAAGGGATCACAACTCCTCACCAGCAAGGGAACAAGGTTGGATGGAGTACGAGTGTGATGAAATGACAGAATCAGACTTCAGCAGGTAGGTAGTAAGAAACTTCTGTGAACTTAAAGAACATGTTCTAACCAAATGCAAAGAAACTAAGAATCTTGAAAAAAGATTTGACGAAATGCTAACGAGAATGGACAAAATAGAATGGAATATAAGTGAATTGATGGAGCTGAAAAACGCAACACGAGAACTTCACGAAGCATGCACAAGTATCAACAGCCGAATTGACCAAGCAGAAGAAAGGATATCAGAGGTCGAAGATCAACTCAATGAAATAAAACGAGAAGGCAACAATGGAGGAAAAAGGGTAAAAAGGAATGAACAAAGTCTCCAAGAAATGTGAGACTATGTGAAAAGACCTAATCTACGTTTGATAGGCGTACCTGAATGCGACAAACAGAATGAATCCAAGGTGGAAAATACTCTTCAGGATATTATCCAGGAAAACTTCCCCAACCTAGCAAGGCAGGCAAACATTTAAGTCCAGGAAATACAGAGAACACCACAAAGATATTCGTCAAGAAGAGCAACCCCAAGGCACGTAATCGTCAGATTCACCAGGGTTGAAATGAAGGAGAAAATACTAAGGGCAGCCAGAGAGAAAGGTCGGGTTACCCACAAAGGGAAGCCCATCAGACTCACAGCAGATCTCTCGGCAGAAACCCTACAAGCCAGAAGAGAGTGGGGGCCAATATTCAACATCCTTAAAGAAAGGAACTTTCAACCCAGAATCTCCTATCCAACCAAACTAAGCTTCATAAGTGAAGGAAAAATAAAATCCTTTGTGAACATGCAAGTACTCAGAGATTTCATCACCACCAGGCCAGCTTTACAAGAGCTCCTGAAAGAGGCTCTACATATATAAAGGAACAACAAGTACCAGCCACTCCAAAAACATGCCAATAGGTAAAGAGAATCAACACAATGATGAATCTGCATCAACTAAAGGGCAAAACACCCAGCTAGCACCAAAATGGCAGTATCAAATTCGCACACAACAATATTAACCCTAAATGTAAATGGACTAAATGCCCCAATCAAAAGACACAGACTGGCAAATTGCATAAAAAGCCAAAACCCATCGGTGTGCTGTATCCAGGAAACCATTCTCACATGCAAGGATACACAAAGGCTCAAAATAAAGGAATGGAGGAAGATTTACCAAGCAAATGGAGAGCAAAAAAAAAGCAGGAGTTGCAGTTCTCATCTCGGATAAATTAGACTTTAAAGCAACAAAGATCAAAAGAGACAAAGAAGGACATTACATAATGGTAAAAGGATCAATGCAACAAGAAGAGCTAACGATCCTAAATATATACGCACCCAATACAGGAGCACCCAGATACATAAGGCAAGTTCTTAATGACTTACAAAGAGACTTAGACTCCCACACAATAATAGTGGGAGACTTTAACACCCCATTGTCAATATTAGACAGATCAACCAGACAGAAAATTAACCAGGATATCCAGGACTTGAACTCAGACCTGGACCAAGCAAACCTAACAGACATTTACAGAACTCTCCACCCCAAATCCACAGAATATACATTCTTCTCAGCACCACATCACACCTACTCTAAAATTGACCACATAATTGGGAGTAAATCACTCCTCAGCAAATGCAAAAGAACGGAAATCGTAACAAACAGTCTCTCAGACCACAGTACAATCAAGTTAGAACTCAGAATTCAAAAACTAACCCAGAACCGCACAGCTTCATGGAAACTGAACAACTGGCTCTTGAATGTTGACTGGATAAACAATGAAATGAAGACAGAAATAAAGATGTTCTTC